TAGGAGGAGTGAAACCGACCGTTGAAATTTTCAGCGCTTTGGGCACTCTTCACCTGCAGTTTATATAATATTTCAGCATAAATTTCATGATCTTTTCACTAGTCTCGTTCAAACACCGAAACAAGAAAACGAGTTGAAAGATAAATTAAACGCAGAATAGTGTTGAATTGTGGACCAGTAGAGAAATAATGAGGGCAAGTGAAGCGTGAGAGGCGGTGGTTGGGGCAGGAGGTCGGAGATCACTACCCCACCCACACCTTTCTTGCGATATATTAATTTGTAACCTGTCAGGCGCAGTCAAGTGAAAGAAGTGGGAAGAATAAGAGACGTGGGGGGAAGGGCTGGTACTTCATCATTCTTTAAGGCAATATGCGAGATTGCAAATTTAATGACAATTTTTGGCTGAAGGGCAAATATGGCGCGCTGTCCTTAAGAATTAATGAAATACAAGAAATCGATCTCCCATTAAAACTCTACAGGATATCTAGAAATAATGGAATTATTTTTGTGTGATTATTATTCTTTTATATGAAACTTTATCAAATAATGAAATGAGTTTATCTTTGTATGTACGTTATAGTTAAGCTTTATATATATATTACGTTTATATATATATATTTTTAAATAGTTCCTTTACCTTACTAATGAGGCTTCAGGCTTCAGCTGTGCTCTCCTGCATGGCATTTTTCGAGCGTTTTTAGTGCTGTGGACGAGGAGTGGCGAATGTGTCGTGGATTACGTGGGAATGTCTCCCACTTGTGTGAACTCTTTAATTTTCCACCGAATTATCCAGTTAGGCATTCTTGAAGGAGGCATGAAATAACCACTTTTGAATTTTACACCTACTTTTATTTTTAGGGTGAATTGTTACGTGAGAAGATTCGCCAAGACAACGTGCTCATACACACATTGTTGGGCGTGTTTGTGCCCCACGCTGAGGGATAATGAATATGATTTGAATATTTTTCATCAGTGTGCTGTATGTAAGAACAGGTGATACGATAACAATGAAGACAATGAAAGGAATTTTTCTTCAAACCATTATTATAAATAGCAATTTATTTTTGTAATTCCCTACGATTTCTTAACAGTTTCTCCCAGACTCAAACGATTGTGGATATGCTCTCTCTCTCTCTCTCTCATTTGAAAATATTGCCAACGAAGTACAACTTATTTGCACTACACGGAATGACCCGTAAAAGATATAAACAAATAATAAAACATGTAACACGATGTTTCTGCAACAGGTTACTGAATAAACCTTTGAGCTCTGGTGCACTGCCGAGTTTTTTTTTTTCCAGGGTACGGGAGTTATGGTGTAGGCGCGGCCTGTGTGTACCGGAAACCTAAACTGGTTCCCTTTTGTCGATACACGTCAATGTATATAGACAAAAGGAAACCAGCAGGGCGGATTCTGGATTTTTTTTAGAGACAATACATTGAGGGTGACTGATGCCCATTAAGTTTTAAAATATATTCTAAATTAAAGTACGGATGGTCCCAATCGACAATTTGGTACTATATAGTAAAGTTTAGTTTCTTCCACCTTAGACCGAGTTCGTGAAATTTATATACTTGTATTTGTGTTATTTGTTATGTATAAATATATCATGATACAGAGTGTTGTTATCGTTGTTTTTGCTAACCATGAGACGCGCGGGGGGGTGACTGGCGTATAAAACAGCCCACGTGGTGATAAATTATAGTTGACTTTCACATTAATTAGAATAGAAAAAAACTTTATAATACATAAAATAGATTAAGATGATAATATTTTTTTTTTGTCTGTAATTTGATATTGTATGTTGGGTAGGCTTTTCCACCACATTTAATAGGATTTGTCACTTCTCACACCATAAAAGAGATTAGTAAAGAGGTAGTAATGATGAAATTTACACATAACATTATGAAGAGCTCGTAATGTGATCTTTCCCGGGGGTGCGAGAGAGCCTCAGGGGACTGCGAATTTTTTAACGGTAGTATGATCATTTTTCCCTGCACTTTGAGATGTACAGTTCGAACACATCTCACTGGCCCACTTATCTTGTTCCACCATTGTCTGCTGGCATAACGACAAATGTTTTGGGTAAATTCGTTGGCTACTGATACTAAATTAACGTCATAACACTCGTTCAACGATTGCCTGCTGACATCTAATGTAATGACTTTCAACTCATCCATTGGGTACTGACAGCCGAGACATCATGACTTCCCTCAGTCATTGATTGCTGTCAGAATGAGTCATGTGTTTGTGATTCATTAGTTTTTGATTAATAACGTTGTATGTTTCTCAACCATTGGGCCTTGACTGATAACTTTATTTGTGTACTCAGCCGATAACGTCATGTCCCTCAACCATTGGCTGCTGAGTCTGTTGAAACGTTATATGATTGTCACAAAGCTATTGGCAAGCGGCATCGTCATTTGTTATACGTTTATTCGTTGGCTGCTGAAAGTAGGGATAACGTCTTTAGTCACGCTTTTTTAGTCACTCAGGCAGATACAATAACACCAGACACCTTGGTGGTAGACGGTCGGTTGGTAGGACTGTACAGCAGGCACAGAACAATGTAGTAATTCACGAGAGGACTACATCCTTGCGCACCATTCACGCGTAACCAGAGCCACGGTTTAATAGACACATAACTGGTTTTTACGATGCCCTTAATCCTTATACACGACCAAGACAGTTAACGACAGGTAATGAGGCACCTAGCGGGGGTGGGGAGAGGGTTTAAGGTGACTGTATATGTAAGGTAAAGCTAGCTACATATTGGGACGATGTACATTAGTACTTAGCCTCTGGGCGGAAGTGTAATATGCTGTGTTATACCTTGAAATGGAGTAAAGACTAATATAAACACAACGTAATCATTTCACTTTTGATTCAGTGGTCAGGTTTGAAAAGTACGTGTCATTAAATTGGCACGACGGATAACAGGTCACAAAGTTTTACCCATTTGGAACACTCATAGCTACAGCTAAAATAATATAATAAGAGGATTAACCAGCCTGTTCCCCGCCAACAATCACTGAGAAGTTTTCTATAAAAAAAAAAAAACACCCGAAATCTAAAATTGGTGAAGGCAGCTCCTCTGCTTTAACTAACACTCGAAGGTCATGGTGTTATCACTCCATCTCAGAGCAGTTTACACTTTGTTGGCATGTGCGGTGTTTGTCATTCATCGCGCCTTTTAGGAATAGCATTCCCTCTAATATCATAATATTTGTCATTTTAGGATATTCTGTTTGAAGGCATCCGACGGTATTTCATGGCCTCTATGGACGTAAAAGTTGCCTTTGAGGTCGGAGTCGTGTGTATTCAGTTGATTTGCTGCCTGCACAAATTTGACGTTCAGTTTTCTCCTCTTTAATGTTGAAAAGAAGAAGCTTTTATGTCGGGCAACTGAGAACTCGTCCCCACAACCTCCCCCTCTTCACCTCACCCGCCTTGTGTGTCTCCTTTTACATTCCACCTCTTAACTAAGTCTACATGCCCTACCTTCTCTCTTTCTTATTCTGACTCTTGCTCTCATTTTTACTTTCTTCCTTGATTTTATCTCTTGTATTTTTTTTAGTATATATATATACGTTCCTCTCATGTTCTTGTTTTTTCTTACATCTACTTTCTTTTTTCTAGTGACACTTGTTCTCTTATGCAGAGCTTAATTTTTAAAATAAGAAGTAGTGTAACCCAAGTGGGCCAAGGACAGATGCTGCAGAGGAGCCGACCAAAGCTTGTAGGGACTCGTATACTACCTGTTTATAAACAACACATAGGGGCATATTATCCCTCTAAGCTCAGGTCAAGATATTAAAGAACAATACAGGGGCGGATCCAGGAATATCAAAAGGGGGGGTCCAAGAAGTTGTGGGTGGAGGAACATGGGCGAGCACTGTGCCCACCCAGTGGGGGGAGGGGGGGGGCTATTTTTAAGTCATATACACTTGATATTAGGAGATATTCTGAGGACAATAGTAATACAAAATTGCCGGAGTACATTACTGCATTAAAGAAAAAGTATTGGAATTTTCTGATGAAAAGGGGTCCATTCCCCCTGGACCCCGTCTCCCCTGGATCCGCCCCTGCAATAGCTTTATTGAAACCAAATCTGGGTAAATATTTGTTGTGGGACTTATTTTGCTTAGCCATGGTGCAAAATAAGTCACCTGTTACTTATTTCAAAGCGGTAGATATTTTGCACAACACTGCACAAATTAAGCATTGCTCTCACGTTTTTGCCTCCCATAGTCTCACAGTTCTCTACTGTTTAAAAAAAGAATAATTCGTCTTATTACCAGGTAAACTAATACCATGGTCGGACATACATCTTTGTACCTGTCTCCATTAAATTTTCACATAATTCTATTAAGAAATACTGTACTAGTTCTGGTTTTCTGATGCTTCCCAGAAATGTTCATTGCTTGGTCTGTCAGATTAATTGACCAGCTTACAATAACAAGGGCGTGTTACCAGTTTAACGTCAGCGTTTATCATCCTTTAGGGTCTCATGAGGTCTCTTATTATTTTTGCTTCTTTATCGAGAAGTCTGTTTTTCGTCTTCAGTTTGTTGCCTCTCATCTGTTCCAAGCATTTTCAAGCATCTTTATTTCTATATATTACTTATTTTCCTAATTTGTTTACTTGTGTAATTTGTCATGAGATGATTTTCTTTTACCAGCATTGAGACTGTAACTAATTCCTGCACATAGCTGTTTGAACATCTCGGAATCTATTCATTACACGTTCAATGTTTTTCACCGCATCTTCTAAAAGTCTGTCATAAGATTTTGTTAAAATTTGGAAGTACTGAACTGTAATTGTTTCCTGTCCTCTTCAGCAGGAGTTCCTATACTCTATAGCCTCAGTAACTAGTTGTTCTCTCATCTCCATCCCCTGTGAGAAAATTTCATATAGCTTTGGAAAGAAATCTCTCCAAACTTTCTTAAGACATGAAACTGATAATGTTGCACGTAATACTTCCTCCCACCTTTATTAGGAGATCATCTTGGAACGTACATCACCTGAGGAGAAGTTGGGGTTGACCCTCTACTACAGTAGTGCCCCAGCACCTCCACCTACTCACATGGCCGAGCAGGATGAAGGTGTAGGAGTAGCTGAGGACGAAGGCTTGTGTGCTGAGGACTACAAGGGTGTGGTGACGGAGGTTTTGGTATCACAGATTGAACAAGGGACAGTAGCCAGCAAGGATGGTCGTCTCAGAATTGGAGACCAGATTTTGCAGGTGAGTTATGATTCAATATATTGTTTTAATATGATTATAAGTTATGGTAAAAATTGACCCATGCTTTCATTTACAAATAAAAACCCCAAAGTTACAAAAATAATTGCCATTTCCATAATTTTTCCACCATAATGATGAAACTAAGATTAAAAGGGCAGGGTTTTTTAATACCAGTAAGGTTACTTATCTCATTATTCTCTAACACTCGCAATGTGTTTTGGTCTACAAATAAGCTTTCAATGTGTCATCATTCTCCTACTGTCACTATAAACCTACAACACAAACTCACTGGGATCAAGTAGACTTGTCTCTACCAGCACATTTTTTTTTTTTGGTCAAAAACAGTTGCTTGTTTGACCAGTTTTTTCTCATTTATTTTTATGTAATGTGTGGAAAATTAAATAAAAGACAAATTTTTATATTCTTAAATTTCATATGATAATTACAGTATGCACAAAAAATGTGTAGAGAGTAAAGAGGAAATGATTATTATTTGCTTATAATCATTGTGTATGCCAAAAATTTTAATTAAAAAAGTTTTGCAGCATTTTTTGGTGTTGTTAGACTTGTATTCTTTTTTTTCTTAATTTGAATTGGAATTTGTAAGGGAAAATATGCTTCAATTTATGAGAAATCATTTTACAAAAAGTTTTCTGTAATTGAAACTTTTCATAAATTGGGGAATATCTGTAGTACTGTACATTACAGTAGACCCTTGCCATTCTTGGGGGTTTGGTTCCAAGAAATGGCGCGAATTGGCAAAACCGTGAATAGCAACTTATACTACCTTAGTGCACTACTGTATACCTGTACCAAACAACTGACTAGCCGTGGCAGCACTCATCCACTCTTTTAACTTGACTGATAATAAAACTTTCTTTGTCAGGGTCATCACTGACGTCTGCCTTTTACATCTCACTCCACTAGCATCACTAGCACAGACACTAGGCAGTCTTTTAGGGGCCATTTTCACACAGAAACACTAAAGTTTTGAGAGTACAACATGAGATGCTGCAGGGGGGTGACTCATTGTGCTGTGGAAAAAGTCTTGCAAGCTAGCCACCATCTACTTACCGTACTGTGAATCGTTGAAATCGCAAATTCCAGAATGGCAAGGGTCTACTGTATATACTATATAATTTTTATGCTACACTCAAAGATTGGAGTGTCTACTGAAGTAAAGATACTGTAGTACTGTACAGGTAATTGCTTTAGTATTTACTTCGTTCACAATAATATATTGCAAGAAAACTTCATCTAACCATGCATACATTTATTTTACATCGCATCTCTATTTTTATTTATTTACAGTACTCCTGTAGAGACTTGACTAATCTTTTCAGCTGCCTGTACTGTATGTCTGCAAACTGATCTTTTTAATTAGTTTCCATATTTTTGGTGCTTTTGCCTCTTGCTTCACAAAGTTCATTGTGTTCTGATAGATTTAAACTTTTCGCTAAAACTAATTTTTTTACATTCTCGCTCATTATTCCTCAAACAATAATGATTTATGATAAATACTATTCCAGATCAATGGTGTAGAGCTCACCACAAGGGCACAAACGGAAGAACTATTTGCTGGCTGTGGGACCAGAGTCAGCCTTCTTGTCTCAAGAACTCAGTACTATGTAAGTCATAGAATAAAGTAACATGAATTGTTTAAAATTTTAGTACAGTACTGAAATATAAAATTTGAAATGGATATTGTTATAAGTTTTCCCTTGTCATTGAACATACACTGTGTACCAATATTTTTCATACAGCGTAGTTTGAACCTATTTATAAGGCCGCTGGTCTTATAATTACAGACACTGAGGCAGGTTTAGTGCCCGTGTTAGTCACCGAAGAAAATTGACATTTTATGAATTTTGAGGTTGACCTAAGCAATTTAGCAAATGTTTGTAATGTTGGTAAACAACACTCAATAAAGATTAAATTGTATATATTTCAAATCATGGCTCTTTTTAAATAAAGGAATACATATAAGTATGCAGTATTAAAAACTAGAACTTTCAATTTCAGAGTTCATCCCTGTATGCTAAGTACAAAGTCTTGGTATTATTATTATTATTATTATTATTAGTCAACACCTACACCATATACGTAGCTAAAGTGGATTTATTAAAGCTGTATGATAAACCTTGCTTGATATTTTCAAGGATGAAGATGACTTAGTTGAGGGGGAAGTACTGGAGGATGTTGTGGAAGAAGATGAAGAAGTGGAACTTCTTGATGCAAATTCTGAATTCCATACCAGCAGGTTAGTGTCTGAGATAAGTGTTAAGTTTATATTGGATGGTTATAAATTATGAGAGTGCAGTTCAGGCATACAAGTACAGTACAGTATTTGTTTCACTCTTGGATTTGGATGTTCAAGTACTGAAAGAACTGTAGGGTGTCAAAGAGTGTAATTTTAATGATTCTTGTCTTTTGTGTGCTGAGAAACAATGTGGTAATAAGTAACTGTCATCATTTAATATTACTTCCACATTATCTTAGTAAAGATGTTTTATCACTGCTTCCCTATTCCTAGGTCACCTGTATTATCAACCAAGAGCAGTGCAAGTGTAGAGAAGAAAGATCTTCCTGAAGATGAGAGCCACATTAACACCTTATGCTCATCATCGTCATCATCATCATCCTCTTGTGAGAGGAAACCCACCAAAAAAGTATCTTCAGCATCATCCACATCATCTCGGGGGTCCCAAGTGAGAGGTGGCAATAATTCCTCTACAATGGACCGGGAGTTGATTGCCCTCGATGAGAAAATGGCTGATCTCACTCAAGAGTGTGAGCAACTTGAGGCTAGTCATAAGGCTACCCAAAAAGAACTTGAGCCTCAGTATAAGGTTCCACATGAACAGCAACAGAAAAAAGGTGTGAAAAGTATATCATGTAGACCACCTGCAAAAACACCCTTACCAACTGGTTCAGAATCTGAGCATATATATGAATCCATCCCTGATGTGAGTGAATCAGATGAACCTATTTACTGCGTGCCATATGAGCCTGGTCGAATTCGTCGGCGCCATCAACAAGCAACCATCACATCTCGTACTAAACAACCACTACACCAAAAACCAACACAGATGCAACCACAGCAGCAGCAACAAAACAGTGGGCGTGGTACACGAGGCAGTGGCACAAGCAGTAGCAGTGGAGGAAGTGGACGTGAGCGACGTGCAGTGGAAAGGCAACAGTCAGTGGAAAGATGGGTGAGGGAAAATCCTCATCCACGATCACCTACCAATACCAAATCTTCGGCTCCTATCAGTAACTCGGTAAAACGTACTGATGTTCCCCAAGAAGAGCGGGACTCTTCCTCTGCCTATAATACTGGTGATTCTACGGGCAGCACACACCGGCCACCCCCAACATTAGAGTTAAGCTTGGGTCAAGACCCCTCCCTTAGGCAATCTACACTCACCTTGTGTCCACCAACACATGACCAGTCATTACAGGTTAGTAAAATCTTTTGCTTGGATCTTTATCCTTGTTTCCAATTTAAAACTTGAAGGCCAATAATTGTTTGGTAAGAAAGTAATTACGGTACATCTAAAATGATTTTGGCAAAATTTTTTATTGTTATTTATGTTAACTTCACCATAGAGTACAATGAATAGGGATCTCATAAAAAGACATTTGTAAAGAGATCAGAAAGCTCTTCTTCTGTTATTCTGTAATATACTGTACTGTTATATTATATATTTGAAATGTAGCATCATTATGCTCAGCAGATGGGCTATGTAATCTTAAGACAACTTATTTATTTTGAATTGTGGATGGGGGGAGGCTTTTCTTGCATAGAATTTTGATAGTTTTGTAGTGTTGATGGACTCTGGGAGGCAAATGGGACAGTATACTCTGCAAAGGACAAAACTGTACAGTATCACACTTTTCATAAAGAACCAGTACAGTATTCCAGCTACTGTAGGTTTGCCTATTACACATGATTATAGGAGATTTGTTTAGTTTTATGAAAAAAATATGAGTACTGTATATACCCATACATTTAAAGAGCTGTAGGTCATAGGTAGAGGGAAATATACGAGAGAAAATTAATTTTCTTAGGTGAGAGGGACAAGAAATAAAGGAGATAATTGATGATGAGCTTCCATTAAAGGGAACTTGCATATACTGTACTGTAGTAAGGGTGGCACATGGCTAATGAGCTGATCAGTGGCAAAGTGGATAAAAGTACAGTAATAGGAGCTAACATGAAATGGCTTTTGTTGACATATTCCCCCAGGGGTGTCATTTCAGATTTTGCTGGGGGGGCATCACCATTACATACAAAGAGTAGGGGTCAAAATTCTGCTCCACCGTGGTGGTGCTGTAAAAGACGGAACACGTTCCAACACGTTTTATATTTTCAATTTGCATCTGCCCGGTGTGGACCATGTGGCTGCTAGCAAAATGACTTACTTTCTTGCTGCTATTCAGTTTATAAATGATAGGCAATGGGAACAATGAAAATAGATGAATACAGTACTTATCATTTTGTTTAATTATGCATAGTAAAAATTCCATTGAGATATTCTCACCAAATCCAAATTTGTCTATGAAAAAGGAATATAATTACAATTTTCCTTGGAGAGCAAGACAGCCCTTGGGAGGGACAAGCCAGGTCTTGGGGAGAGTGCCAATGACGCCCCTGCCCATGGAATTAGTGGTAGACATTGAAAGAGAAGAGATAGATCAACTGGTGTGGAGGAAACGTACAGAGGAAATGAGGGACTGATCATTACAGTAATGAGATGAATAGCTTTAGTGTGTACAGCTGTACTGTATTTTGTCTGACAGTGATAAATATGACTGTGGAGTGCCATGCCATATATAAAGCAGTGTTCCATGTAGAGAGATGCAGGAGTGTTTTAAAGGGAAAGAAGTTTGTGCAGAGGTAAGAGTATTTGACAAGCCTGAACGAAAGAAGCCTAGTTTTCGGGATTCATACTTTATATTGGAAATCTGATGGTCTCAAGCGTTTGTATTTTGATGGCATTGGATATACCGTACCGTTATGATCATTTGTGCCCGATTGTGCTGCGGACTAGAGGTTTGTCATCAAGGCAGCAGTAGTACAGTGTCCACAAAGATTTGTTCCAGTTTTAAGTATTTTTAATACAATAAATTCAAAAGTGGTAGAATAATGCAGTTTGTTGCTTAAGAAATTGACTGTTACATGTTTTTAAATGAATTGCAACATATGCACCATTAGTGGACCATACCTGTAGTATATCCAACCAATACTCCTCTTCAGTCCATGTGTTGACCAACATATCCTTCATCACTCTTCTGTTGCCATTGGTTATCCTGGAAATCATATTACATGACATATCCCCACAAAAGAAATCTAAGAGCATAACATCAGGTGACCAGGGGGGGAAGGGCTGGAGATGACTAATCATGTCCAATGCACCTGCCAGGGACATTCTTGTCAAGAAAATTACACACAATCAAACTATAGTGTTAAGGCTCACCATCTTCCTGAAAAATAGCAAATGGTTACAGCTCTGCATACCAGATGATACATTATAAGCTTCTTATGTGCAGTCGCCACCTGTATTCAAACTTTTATTATTGGCAACTGGACACTCAGTTTACGAACAGTAAATCAAGATAAACTTTGGGAGTTAAGCAACAAATGAAAGAATTGCACATGCATCTTTTTTGGTTTTGTTGTAATACAATTTTTAAAACGGAACAGACCTTTGTGGACACCCTCAATATAGAAAATGTATTGTAAAAATTTACTGGCCATAGGCATTAGAGTGGTAGAATTTATTTTAGGGTAGGATATTTCTAAAAATCATTTGCTTGCCATAGAAGACAAATATACAAGTTACCCGTACATCACCCAATCACAATACAAATTGTGGCAACTGTACTGTAGCTGCTGTAGCTGCTGTTTATGCACCAAAAATAGTTAGGGAGCCTAAGAATAAATTATTAGTTTAGTGATTTGATGTAAATTTACTCACAAAGAGGTTGTAATTGACAAGTTAAAAGTGGTGACAATTTACAAAAAAGTAGAGCTTATTTATTTTAATTTAATTTATTTTCACTTCAGGTTAGTCTAGAATCGGACACCTATTCAGCTATCTCCTGCGATAGCTGCAGAAGGTGTATGCGACTTCCACCCCTGCACCCCTCTCTACCACAGAAGACTAGTGTACGAGGCCATGAATCAGATCATGGAATAAACACTGCCTCCCACCAAGCTCACTCATCCAGTCACAAAGTTGCACCCCCTGACAGCGAGAGCAATCGCAACTATGTCACATTTCTTCCAGCACAGACAATGTACACCAATGCTGCAAACCTCCAACAGACTATTTGGCTTCAACAGCAATTGTTTAGACAGGCTTTGAACCGGGAGAGCACTGCCCCCTCCACACCGACCACCTCGGCTCGAGGCCTCCCTCCCAGGGCACCTCCTCGCACTCCCCAGGATCAACCTGTCAAGATGGAGTGGAAGGTAAGAAACTTATGTGAATTTTATTGGCTGTAAGTAATTCAGTTTCATATAAATTCATTTGAAAAATTCTTATTCAGTACTGTATATATAGTTTATACAGGCTGAAGAAAAAGTTTTAGAATTGCAACATTTTACTGCACATTATCAAGTTTATATATTTGTTCACCCTACACTAATTGTTACTGAATGTAGTAAAACAGTTGCATTGAATGTTAAATCAAAGGCAATAAATCTATTTGTTATTGACTCCTTTTGAGTGAAAAAAAAATCCCTGTTTGAGGCATAGCATAATTGACTTTTTAAATATTCTAAATGTTTAATTATTTCAAAGATTAATTATTAATTAACACTAATTACTCAAATTTTGTAATTTTTAACCCAGATCCTTAAGCAGCATGTAAAGTTTTACCTTTGTACATAATCTGAACACGTTAGAATCAGAGGCTCAGGGCCCAACCATAATAAACAGAAGCTGTCACCAGTTACATTGGACAGTGGCAACTTAGCTCCCTTATAATCAGCCCTGCAAGAAAGCTTATTATCACCACTTTCACCAGTGCATAATACATTAGTTCACATCCATGTGTATATTGAACAACCACAGGAACATAAGGCATCCCTGTCTTATACCCACATATATTTCAAATGTTTCAGTTTCATTCCCATTTACTCTTACTGTTACCCTGCTGTTCTCATAGAATGCATTTACTCCATTTAATAGCCTTCCTCCCATCCCAGACATTTGTAATGCCTACCACAATGCTTTTCTTTTCACCATATTGTACGCTTTTCAAAATCTACTATGAATCATTAAAACCATCTGTAAATAATAAAAAACAACATAAACATTAAAACAAAACAAAAAAAATTATTAAAACTAAGAAAAAAGGCAGATTAAAAAATATATGGTTTTTTGGGTTTGTTTAAACCATTTGGTTTAAATCAGCCAACCCTGACTATTTCACATTCCTTGAATGCTTTGAACATAAATATTTGCTTTGCTCACTAAGGTGATTTGTCAGGGATATTTCAGTGCTCATTCTCACTTCCATACAGAATTATTTACCACAAGCTCATTTCAATATACAAATACTGTAGTACAGTACTCATTTTCCATCTAATGTTTTTGTAGTCTTCACCAAGATCTTCATTTCACAGTTTCATATTTTAAATTTTTTCCAAATTGGTTTCTGTATTCTGTAAATTTTTAATGCCTCCAAATTATTATTCACTTTTCTTTTATAAATCATATCTTACTACACTCAGAATTTTTGTATACACAGTTTACAATTTACCCAGATCTGGCAAATTTACCCAGTAACTCCATTCTGTGTTATGCTTGCTGGGTACAAGTGCTTTGTTGAAACCCTGTTCACATAAATATTATCTTCCAAAATGGTTCATATGTTTCTACTTTGTGCACTTCACCTATTGTTTTTTAAATTTAGAGTCTAAACATATTGCTCTACCAGCCATAGGACATCCTTCAATACTGTACAGTATATTACTGTAGTTGTAAAATATCCTTGGCAAATTCCCTTGAGTTAAGAATACAGATATTAAGTGCCCCTATTCTCATGTTAATTTTCCTTGACTGCAAAGAAAATATTTCAGCTTCACCTGCATAACCTCTGTTTGAGTATACAGTGTATGATATAAGTATTATTGTACTTAAAACGGAAATACTTAACAGGTAAAGCGGCGGCCTGATGGAACCCGATACATAACACAGCGACCTGTGAGAAACAAGATGTTGAAGGAAAGAGCACTCAAGATTAATGAGGAAAGAGCAGGACTGACCACAGACGATGATGCCATGTCAGAAATGAAGGTAGTTTTAACTTCTATCCTATGTTTGGTACTTTGCAACTATCTCATGAAAACATCTGGTAGATAAAAAGAATGGAACAGTAATTTTTAGACAGTCTCACTTTAAAGCAGATATTTCCTTGACTTACTGTACTTCACAATGCTTTCCTCATCTTAATTAATTTTTATAAAATATAATTTCCAGGATTAATTGGTTGTTTGATTGTGGTAATAACATCCCTGGCAGCACAACAGCTTAGGTCATATTCCACCTAATTAACATTTCCAGTATCAGTCTTTGATATCATGTTAGTCTTCTAGACATTTTTCATTAGATAATTGTACTTAAATATGGCTTTAAGCAAAAGGTACTGTAGTCATCACTCTTAGTCAAAGATCTCTGCTTTGTACTCTTTGAGTATCAGGAATCTGTAATACTTAAGACGAAGAGATTCTCAGAAAATAAGTAATTATTTTTTTTATTTATCTATGCCATGGACAAGCCTAATTTAAACTTTGTCTAAACCTTGGCATATGGCATTGATTTTATGGTTGTACCCACACAACTTAGCTCTGGTCAAGTACTGTATATAAGAAATATTTCAATCTTTTATCACGAATAACAACAAAAATGCTACATTAATTCACACAATCACATCATCAAGACGATCTTATTAATCCAATGAATTCACTGTCTAATTTCTGTCATTCAACAATGAAATCCCAGATGTTACCACGCTTTGTTACAGAGTCGCAACATTTCATGACAGGAAATTGTTTAGCCACAATGGCTGCTGTAGCTTAACTGAGGTTTTTCTTTTGCACATGACTGTATGCAACTCACTGTCAGTATAAAACTTAAGTACTTTGTCTCATTTTATCTTTGCCATAAATTATGGTAACTACACTACTGATCACAACGTTTCCTTAGTTACTTTTGGGGGAAATTTCTACATTTTCTGTGATACTAAGCTCTTTATGTTTTCTTTTTGTACTACAGCACTCGATACCTTTACTTTTGCATTTGTTTTGAGACACTAAGGGCAATACAGTACACCTGCTTAAAATGCACAAGCACACCATCAGCTGAGTGATCTAGGCTAGGTCACTCAGCTGATGATATTTGAAGGGAATTTGGAAATACTTACTTTGGAAAGTTAGTTATTTCCCCCCATAAAAAATTTGGATTCCTGATGAATTGAAGCCATAATCAGAGGGGTAGAAAAACTGATGTGGATATAAAAAATCATGTCAGATTTAATGTACCTATCTATTGACATTTTGAGGCCTCTAGGAATTACTCTTCCTTTGTGTACTGTACTGTATGTGTTTTAGCATTTTGCATTTCAACCATTTTTATTTTTGGCAAATATTAACATAAACGGTTCATTTATATCTACAGTTGGGACGATACTGGAGCCGAGAAGAGCGGAAGCGTCACTTGGAGAAAGAACGGGAACGACGACGACGACATGAGCTCCTTCGGCGACAGCAGCAACAGCAGCAACAACAGGTGCCTCATGCTCCAGATGAACCTCCCTCAGCATTGAGGACCTGCACACTTGAAAATGGGGTCCATCAGGCACTTTGGCGTGATCACTCCATAAGAAGGAAGACCTCATCCACCTTAGAAACCAGTCACAAGAAATCTTCTACTTCTAGGAAGAGAGATGTAGAGGAAACTGCATACGGAGCTCGAACTCCCGTTCTTCCCGCAAACCCTCCACCGTCACAACAGATGAAGGGCCTCCTTTCAGTCACCACAGTCTGAAATTACCAAGGATGCAATATTATCAAGTATGCTTTGTAAAGTAGTTTATTCAAGTTAACATCAGACATAACCCACTGACACTAGTTTTTGAAGAAGCATCCATGTCTCTTGGATTGTTGCTCTTGAAATGTTTCTACACTGAACTGTGTTGGAAAATCAGTTTATCAGACCATTCATTATTTCATACACACTGTGTTGCCACTAATGTATTTTTCAACTGTGGAATAGATCATTAATATAAAATATATACACAGTTGATAATGAACAAGTGCTTATTCCTTAGTAAGAAAATGCTCTACAGAAATAGGACACAACTATTCGTGTCAGCTTTGTGTGCTTTGAATTTTATAAATTATTCTTACAGTGAAAACCTGTCAATCGTCAATGCAATATATTCTACAGGAAAAACATAAGTGACTGAAAATATAATACTTTGACAGTTCAATTTTCTCATAATATGTGTTACAAGTGAAAACTGGTTCATTTTCCTGAGAGAATAAGTGATATGGCAGCATTAACATGAAGGTGAAAAGGTTAAAATTAAAGTATCATATGATACTTCTGATAATAACAGTGTTTACATACTCCTTATAATAGAAGTGAAACAGTTTATTAGTGGAAAAAAAAAGAACATTAGTGCTTTATTTGGAGATGTTTGGTAAGAGATGCTCAATGAACAAGTGATGCCAAACTGTCATCCAGAATGTGATGTTGACTGTGGGAGGTGATTGCCACATACACCATGATATTAATGTCATATTGGATATATAGTTCTTTTATATAGCAATGAAGACTGCTCATTGAACTCGTCCATTTGTTTTATACTTGTTGTGGATGTTCTATATATATATATACAATATATATAATAGGTGCATTTGGAAAATGAAATTTTTTTGAGCTTGATCATGTGGTAAGGACCAGGTTAAGTCAGCAGCACCCCTGGTGTTAGTGATCCAGCCCATTAAGAATTCATTAACCAAACTGACTCTAGCTCTATACCTTGGCTTTTGTGATGATTAGTCAACTCCCAGGCAAAACCCAATTGTATAAATGGTGAAATGAGTCTAGAGAGATACACCAAGCTGCTTGTAATTTGCAGGAGTCATATTCACAGGTAAAGCAGTACACATCCCAAATAAAGTCCCTAGTCTCCTTCGCTCTTCTTTCCCCTAATGATTTTGACGTTCGTCTGTATACTCTGTATTGATGTAAATTTGTGTATAGTAAAAAAAGCTTTATATTGACTATGGCCATTCAAGAATATGTTATGCTTTAAAATAAAATTATTGATATTAAAAGTGCATTTGATTTTTTTTCTATGGCAGTTCATTGGTCCTTAAGTAGTGTTACCGCCACAGTAGGATAAGCTAGAAGAGAGAGGGATAGAGAGAAAGAAAGGGAGACAGGAGAGAGACAGAGGGAGTGTTTACAACGAACTTTGGCGAGGTGTTAAATGTGAAACAGATGGTCCTCGTCTCGGGACTGACTAACTCCCTCCCTGTGGGGTTCAGAAGATAGTTTCTAGCCGTCCAGCGAGCTAACAAGTCAGGGAGCTAGTACTGTAAGTCCTACATTAGACCCGAAACACGTAAGTTTTATATGGTTTAACACCCCACTCTACTCAAATATATCATATGTTGTTGTTAATAGTGAAAGAACGTACAAGTGATTTAATTATCTCATATGTAACACATGTAATTTGTACTCTGCAGATTTTGACGGAATAAAGAACAATGGAGTCCTACGTGCAAGGGTCTCGTTTTCCCACAATCGCTCATCGGGCGGTTACAGTCAAAACGTGGGTCCTACAGTCTGCCGATACAGTCTACTGAGAACCGACGAGTGACTCGACCATCGATGGACCTTCAGTGGTCCCCTTCCCTCCGGCACCCAACACACCCCGCAGCAGGAGAGCAGGGACGCCTTTTTGTGAATTTGTGAATCATCAACTAAAGTGTGACACCTATAATATAAAAATAGTTAACCCCAGTGAAAAAGGGTTGTGTGTTGAGTGTGCGTATAGCACTCATATGTGTACATAGAGAAACGTGACGCCTCTGTATGTGGGTCCAGTGTCAGAAAGGATTGGTCTCGGTGCCAAAATTGTTCGTTCGGGCGCGCGGGAGTGTTATCGTTCATTCCGGACAAGCCTGCAACGAGGACCGCGTGTCGGGAAGGAGTGGACTCTGTGTCAACAATATGCGTGCGTACACGCGGGAGAGATAGTGTTCAAAACGTACAGCCAGACTGGATCGCCAATCGTAAATAAAAATTAAGAACGAGTGAGTTGTCCTTTCTGTTAGAAAATTGTAGTTGTGACAGTTAAGTAACGTTGTGAGTAAGGGTGCAGTAGTGTTTGTGGCATCAGTTTTATGATCTTAGCAGTTGTGTAATGAATCCCTACACTGACTGTGGTGCTTCTGTTGTCGTGTTAGTGTGACATCGCTCGTGCTTATTGCATGCATTTATTTGACTTCAGTTGTATGTCATTGCTTATATGACTTCAGTTGTATGACATCGCTTGTGTGATCTCAGTTATATGACATCACCATAAACGAGAAGACGTGTCAGTTGAAGAGCATTCCCGCTTAACCAAACGTCTCAATAACTGTCCACCGAAAGAGCCAAATCGAGTTCACTGTGTCACCAGTCATGGAAGGGAACAAGGCAGAGAAGATAAGCCTGGCCAGCGTAGAAGACCGGGAGGTCCTGACTGACGGAGATGCTAACAGGTCACTCGCACAACCAGGATGAAGTGGAGAAACCCCTTCACCAAAGAGAAGGATGGAATTAGTAGGGTAATCGAGGGTTATCAGCAGACGCTCACCCAATTAACGGTAATGATGCAGAATGTGAAAGACCATATGGAGCAACTGCAGACTTTAGGCGATACGGAGGACTTCGGTGAGATGCTGTCATTACCAGGAGGAAAGCCTTTTCTGGAAACGAATGAGGGGATGACAGCCGCGACGATGCATCTACGAGACACACGTTGAAAACTGCAAGAACCCACCCAAGGAGGGTTCCCAGCACTCAGCACCTCAGCGTCAGGAACATCAGGGGGAGAGGTTACATGTTTCCACCCGTCATACCCACTTTCCGGAAGCACTGACACCAACAGGAACCCAGGAGAAGGAAATCCAGGTACAAGATATACAGCGAGAACACCAGGATGGATGGAAGGGAGGCCATCGGACACGATGCTACCAACCCAGAGACTGGAAGAGTTAATGGCCACTATGAGGCTTACCCAGAGGCCGATGCCAAGGTTCAGCGGAGGGACTTGTGACGAACATTGGGAGTTCAAGCATGCCTTCCAAAGACAAATTGGGGAGGCGCCTATGCACTAAAATTGGAAACACTTCTCTCAACCTACAACGGCCGTGCTAAGAAATCCCTACGAGCGTCCCTGCAATTAGAAGACCCCAGGGCAGGATACGAACAAGCTCTAGCCTTGCTAAAAGAGCATTATGGCAACAAGCAAGCCTACATCCAAGAACTAATAGGTAAGGTCCTACGTGACCCAGCCATGAGAACAGATGACATTAAAGGACTTCAGGAGCTCGCGGACGATCTGGGAAATTGCGTAAACAACTTGAAGGTACTGGGAAAACTGCACGAATCAACACATATGAATCACTGAATACTTTGGCTAAGAGATTCACGGGAAAGATCAGGGAGTGATACGAGGATAGAGCATATGACTTAGAAAAGAGAGACAGGGATTCTCCAGGAGTCGAGTGGATGAAGGATTTTGTACGGGAGATGCCAGACAGGACAAGAAGGGCATCGAGGGGATGAAGACAAGAAGAGCCGGGCGGAAGACAAACAGGCTCACACCCATACCCTTCCTCAACAGAAAGGAGACCTGTGGGTCTAGTGACATCAGGAAGAGAAGAGGTTAGAGGAAGGGACGACCGCACTTGCCCATTATGCCCTGGATATCACCCTCTGCAGAGATGCCAAGCATTCCTCAACATGTCGACTGGAGAGCAAACTTCACTCATACGTGAAGAACGTCGCTGTTTCGCCTGCGTAGATCGCTCTCACCGGATGGCCGAGTGCATCCAGAAGACAAGGTGCGGCATAGATGGCTGCTGTAACTTCCACTTGAATCTCCTGCACTTCTCGAAAAATTTTATGTGCAAATAACATGCCAAACCAGGACGACCCATCAAGAAAGGAACTCTTAGCCAGTTTTCAAGGGATGAAATGAGCTTCCACCATGGAGGCACACCAGTCAGAAGTGCCACCCGACCACAAGCGGCAGAAGCTAGGTGACTGTCAACTCGAGGCCATCATGTCGGCACCGAAATCAATGACCAGTGGAGCTAGACCATGGAAAACCAAATCCAGCTCGAGAGTTACGGAGAAAAAGGCTGGAAACAGGCAGGTTGCACTGGTGACCACGAACCGAGAAAACCCGTATAAATGGGCCAGAGATACTTACGGTCGAGAAAATAACCAGTGCGAGGTGGCTATTATTATTATTATTGTCATTATTATTATTATTAGTAGTAGTAGTAGTATTTCTCACTTGTCTTTCAGGGTAGTGGCAATAAACAGGACCTTATGGGATAGTGAGCTGAAGGAGTTGGTGAGTGTCTTAGAGTTTTAGTTGATTTTGTGGGGAAAAAGGGTCAAATTTTCCTCCTCTTCCTCCTTTCCCCTTTCCTCCACCATCTCCGTCTCCATCACCACCTCTTCTTCCTTCTCCATCACCACCACCTCCTTGTTTTCCATCACCACCTCCTCTTCCTCCTCCTTCTCCATCACCATCTCCTCTACCTCCTCCATCCTCACCTCTTCCTCCTCCTCATCATCATCACAATAACACTACAAGACCTGGCTTGAGCCTCCAGGTAAACTTATTGTTTTATTATGTTGAAGCAAACTGTTTAATGCCACCCACACCACCACCATCCACACCACCACCATCCACACCACCGCCACCCATACCACTGCCACCCACACCACCGCCACCCACACCACCGTCGCCCACGCCACCCCCCACACCACCACCCTCCTCACCACCCCCACCCACACCAGCCACACCTCCACCACCCACACCCCCACCACCCACACCACCACCATTCAAAGTGGATTGATGTTAAGCACATGTACAGTACTAATGCTGGTAGCACCATTGATGAATTAAGATTAATATTTGCTGAAGATGGAGTTCCAGAAGAGATAGTATCTGACAATGGTCCTCCATAAGACTCAACGGTGTAAAGCATGTACTGACCCCACCCTATCACCCTGCCTCTAATGGTGCAGCTGAGAGATCAGTTAGAATTGTAAAGGAAGCACTTTCCAAGTAGGTAATTCAAGGAACTGTAGGAAAATCAATGAAACACAGACTGGGAAATTTCTTACTCGGGTACAGAACCACGCCACATAGTGTGACAGGATGTGCTCCTGCAGAGTTAATGGTGAAGAGACAGTTGAGAACAAGATTAAGTTTAGTTAAGCCAAGTCTGTTTGAAGTTGTAGAGAGGAAACAAGCTCAACAAAAGATGTATCACGATAAGAGTTCCAGTGAAAGAGTGTTCAAAGTAAATGATAGGGTGAGAGTTAGGAACATGGCTAAAGGTTATGGTACTGTACATGCAAAGTGGATAACTGGTGTCATTGACAAGGTATGTGGATCTAGGACATATTTAGTGAAATGTGGTAACTCTTTGAGATATGTTCATGTGGATCACATCATTCAGGCACATGGCGAGATGAATGTAGCACCAGAACATGATGATAAACTTGACACAGTTTCAGATGATCATCATGATGACGATGTCAAAGATGATGTTTCCCAACATCCACTCACTGTGTCAACTGACTGTAAAGATGATACGTCTGTCACTGATAATGCACAGAGTGCAAGTGAAACCCCTGTAAAACTTGATGGAGGGAATAGTCCTAGAAGATAAAACAGAGTTAGGAGACCTGTAATGAAATTAGACCTTGATTATCTGAATTGTGAACAGGCCTTTCAAAATTGTTTAGTTAGGAAGTTATATTTCTTGTGTTCTATTCTCTTCTTCCCTGCCATATGTAATTCTGTAAGTTTTGTTTATTTAGGATTTGTAGCAGCCATGCTCTCTTTTTGAAAGGGAGAAACAGTGTTATATATGTGTATGTTTATATGCTGCCTCTATTGATTACATATACATTATATATTATGTTCTTACCAAAGTTAGAATGCGTTAGGCACATGGTACGAGAACAACAATAAACCACCTGAGTAAGAGTCTGCATTTGGCTTCTCATTCTCCCATTAAATCATGTAAGATACTACACCATCAACCTCTCAGGATGTGAGGAGGCTGGGACAAAAGCAGGGGGACAAGCCTCACCCCCTCAAGATCACACTAGTGAGTGAGGAGGAGAAATGGGAGGTTATTCGGAGGGCAAAAAACTTAGCAAGGAGCGAGGCATCTCGGAGTGTATTCATTCACCCAGATCGCACGGTAATGCAGAGGGAACAGCACAAGAAGCTCCTGCAGGACTTGAAGCAGAAGAGGGGATGGGTGTACTGTATATGGGCTATATTCAGGGGGAGGGTAGTGGAAGCAAGTGTGCCGACACAGAGCCAGGGGGCAGCAGTGTACCCTCCACCCGCTCTACCAGCTGGTAGGAGGCGAGCGCCGTGTAAACACTGGCATTTCTAACCACACCCTGAAAAATACAGTGCACTTCGCAAATGCTGCAGCTTCTGAGAATGGAGGGGGGCCGGAGTTACTACTAAGAGCAGAGACGTTACCCAGAACAAATTCTGGCTTGTACACTAATACTGACACGTTCCTTGATTAAGAAAGAGCAGTTTGAAACACTACTGAAGGCACACCAACCCGATATTTTAGGAGTTGTAGAACTGTTGTACAAGAACAGGAGAATCAACCCAGAAGAATGTGAGTTCAATATTGCTGAATATGACTTATTCACAAAACTTTCTCAAGAAACCTGCAAGAGGGGTGTGGTTTTCTCTGCTAGGCAAGGCCTTAGAGCCAGCCAGGCGAGGGTACAGGGAGAGGATGGTTTTAAAGAGTCCAAGTGGTGTAAAATTAAATTAAAGGGAGGGGACTTACTTATTGTTGGGTGTATCTACAGATCCCCAAACTGTAGCCCACTAAATAATAGGAACTTAAGAGCCTTAATAGACAACACAGCGATGCTCAACCCTAGCCACCTCCTTATCATGGGGGACTTTAACTATGGCGACATCGACTGGAGAAACAAGGATGTATGCAAGAGCCAGAAACCAAGCAAAGGCAGAGTGTAGAAGGGCTGAAAAGGAGTTCTAGAGGCTGGTTGCAAGCGAGGTCAAGTCAAACCCAAAGGCGTTTTACCACACAAAGTCAAAGTTAAAAACGTGAGTAGGAGTATCAGATTCTGACCAGGATAAAGCTGAGGCATTGAACAGCTTCTTTTCCTCGGTGTAACAGCTTCTTTTCCTCGGTGTAACAGCTCCTTTTCCTCGGTGTTCACAAGAGAGGATGCGATTAACCTTCCTGCGTTTGAGAACAGACGGTTCGACACAGCACTGACCCACATTGTGTTCACAGAAGAGGGTATAAGAAATAAACTGTCAAAGCTAAAGGTCCATAAGAGTCCCGGCCCTGACATGGTGCATCCCAGAGTGCTAAGAGATTTGTGCAACGAGCTTGCCGAGCCCCTGAAGATCCTGTTTTGTAAATGCCTGGATGAACAAAAGGTCCCCAGTGATTGGAAAATGGCTTATGTGAGTCCTATCTTTAAGAAAGGCGATCGTCACTCCACGAACAACTATAGACCGGTGAGCCTGACCAGCATAGTATGTAAAGTACTTGGGAGTATTATCAGAGATGCCGCGATGGAACATCTACTACGAAACAACCTTGTAAAGGATTGCCAACACGGTTTTATGCCGGGGCGCTCCTGCTTAACACAACTGCTCAAGGTTTTGAATATTTGGACCCATATTCTGGAACGGGGTGGTAGTATTGACAATATATACTGTACCTAGATTTTGCCAAGGCTTTCGACAGTGTACTCCACGAAAGGCTGAAAATCAAACTGGAAGGGTACAGAATTCGGGGAAATGTCCTTGCATGGATAGAAGACTTTCTACATGACCGCAAGCAGTGTGTGGTGATTAGTGGCACAAAATCATCAACTGTATCTGTCTCAAGCAGGGTACCACAGGGCTGTTGTTTGTTTGTTTCATAAATGACATGCCTGACGTTGTACACTCCTCCATATAAATGTTTGCGGATGGTGCCAAGTTATTTAGGGAAATCAAGAACCAAGCGGATTGTGAAGAGCTGCAGACGGATCTCAAAGAAATGGCTGCTGAGATTCAATGTCACTAAGTGTAAGAGGATGCACCTGGGGCATACCAACTGTAAGGAGACGTATCATATGTCACAACGGAATGAAGAAACTGCACTAGTTGAGACTGAATGTGAGAAGGACCTAGGTGAGTATGTTGACAATGAGCTGAAATTCTCGGGCCATTGTGAGAAGAAGGTAATTCATCAAATAAATTATTAGGTCTTATAAGAAGGTCGTTGAGATATCTCTCGTAACGATCTTCAAGAGGGAAGTGCTTCCCTATCTGGAGTACTGTCACCCATCTGGTCCCCGAGATATACAGGGGTACTAGGGACTGTCAGTTGGTGCCTGTGCTTTGGCACCTCAACTACCTCCGTTATATAAGACCTGACCTCGTGGTGACCTACCTCTTTCTACCTACACCAACCAGCAAGCGCCTCCACCTCCGCCTGCCTGGCGGCCCTCACTCCCGCCGGTGAGCATGGCGACCCACAAACTGGTCCTCCTCTGAGCACCCTCACCAACCAGCTCTCTCTACATCACGCTTGTAACCATGCTGCCTTCCCAGCACCAAGTTGCACTGTACATCCAATACAATATGTATACAGAGAGCACATTGTGAGTTTCCTTTCTCCATCCCATCCTGAGTGTGAACCAAACAACCTCTTTCAGAAAAAAAAATTGAAAGCCTGACCTAACCTTTTCCAACCCAGAGAACTCCAAACAGTAAAAAAAAAAAAAAAATAAATAAATAAAATAAGTATTACCTTATTTAACCGATGCCAAAAGAAAGGGTGATTTTATTAATGTTTTTCGTGTTTTCATTTGCCAGCGAGTATCTAGAAAAAATGTTTGTAAAAGCGTAAACCACAAAATTTAAACACAATTGGTTGTTCATGAAACCAGGTTTACCGATTCAGTTTTTGCATGTCTATCACAAAAGGTTGGGTAGGTTTTTAATATTATTTTGTTGTTTAACTTCTCATGTTCATAGACCAAGACCTCGAGACTTCACCGGTGATTGACCAGTGAGTATAGACTTGTTAATGGTATAGTGTTATTACTGCATCAACCATTTAAGGTTTTCAAGTACGTAACAAAGTTAATAATTACACTTGTCCATCAATAACTGATAAATTAAGAAAGAGCAGATAGAGGTTTCTTCAATATGTCTCACAGAAAACGTTCTTGAGCTTCCGGTTTTCTAGTTTTAAATATTTTTGGTGTTGACATAATTAATTATCATGGTTCACCCAATAGTTATCTCGAAATACTTATCAAAGTTTCATTACACATGCACAGACAGACATACACTGGCAATAGCGTGTTAAACTGGGGTGCCTAATCTTCGGGTGGATACTTTGGGATACCTAATAATTTCAACTAAACTAAAATAAAATTAATATTCATGCCCATCTCAAACTGACGGTAATTTTAGAAATACCACCAAAAGAGTTCTGCATTGATAATCTTTTTCCCAGAAGAATAACGATTTTTTTTTCATATAATATAAAGCTCTAATTATGTCAATATGTATTCAGTTTCCTTTAATTATAATTATATATTTTAACTATAGGTCGATATATTCAGTCAGCTGGCCGAGGGTAACAGACGGTTGCTAAGGTGACCATTCCACAACACAGTAATGACGCATATTTTCCCACGCAGGTTAGTTTTAGCCTTGTGTTATCTTTCATGGGTCATATTAAGTAGTGATCTCTATACTGTAGCACTTATTAGAGAGATATACTATGTAATTAATTGAAGAAATGGTAACGTATTCTTGGTTGTCAGGGACGCTGATCAGTGCCCTTCTGGTAAACATTAAAATACTCTAGTACATATTCACACATCTTGACGAAATACAAATTATCTTTAGTAATGTCAATCATACCCAAACTAGGATCAAGTTGTTGCAATGTAAAATATATTCACTGTTTAAAGTAAACCTTTAAATCTGTTCAAAATGAACCTTATAGTTAACCAAGCTTTGTATAAGGGTCTGACTAATTACCCAAATGTACCCAAATGTAGCCGGAATGAAGTCAAATAATGGTCCTAGATGAATAAATCGGACTGCTAATCACTTCTCGACTAGTATTTGGTGTCAGAAAGTCAAAAAAAATTGGAAAACTTACTTTAATCTGAGTTAATAGATCGCGTGCATGTACCGGCGGAGCGAGGAATTACCCAAATGTAGCCGCAATGAAGTCAAATAATGGTCCTAGATGAATAAATCGGACTGCCAATCACTTCTCGACGAGTATTTGGTGTCACAAAGTCACAAAATATTGGTAAACTTAATTTAATTTGAGTTAATAGATCAAGTGCATTTACCTAACGTAACCTAACCTAACCTAACCTAACACAACACAACTCGGATTAAATTAAGTTTACCAATTTTTTTTACTTTATGACACCAAATAATAATCGAGAAGTGATTCACAGCCCGAATTACGCTTGTACGACCATCATTTGACTTTATTGCGGCTACATTTGGGTAATTTTTTCCTTTTCTCAAGAATATCCCAAAAATTGTGGAGGAATAATTTTTACCAAACCTAAAAAGAAAACCAAAATAACCTGAGGAACGAAACTTATGACTCCTATTTATCAGGATGCATGACTGTACCAACTGTATACTGTACTGTGCAATATATGTATTTTATTTTACTTTTCAATTTTTTTAGGTATATATAAAGATGGGAAAACTTCTAAGATATATAATATTAGATACAGTACCGTACATGGGTAAAAGACGAGAACAGTATCTTATTTTTTTTGTCTTTACTTTGATTGTTTTTGTCTTTCCAGTATGAATATTGTGAGTACAAGACTGACAGCGAGATACTTGCCCTGGGAACATCTCTGTCAGTTATCTCGTCACCGGTTCATATACTCACATTCTTCGCTGAGAACATCACTCTTCTCGCAGGTTTCCAAACCAAAATTTTTGCAACAGCATCATCCACTGAATCTCATCACTACATGCAATTATTCAACTGAGTAAGCAATTTTTATTTGGTCTTGAATTTTAATATGTTCCTACTACCTAAGAAACCATGTTAGTACAGTACAGTACAGTGGTCCCTCGGTTAACGAACAGTTCGATTAACGAAATTTTGGCTAACGAATTAGCTCCCATAAGGATTTTCAGTTCGATTAACGAAATCCTTACGACAAACACGTTTTGTGTGCATCAGTTCTATGTTTACATTCGTTTCCGGTGCAGTAAATATCAAGAAAGTTGGTCTCTTGAATATTTCTGCATTTTTTATGTTAAATTTATTGGTCATTCTGAAATTTAGTTAACATATTGATAATATTTACAGTACAGGGAACAGTTTTTGTGGATCAATCAGCTGATTGAATGACCCAACAATGCATCTCAGTTTAACTTTGTTTACAGTGGAGTGAACATCCAGTTTGTTGGTCTCCTGAATATTTTTGCATTTTTACATTAAAATTATTGGTCATTCTGAAATTTAGTTAACATGTTGATAATATGCAGTGCAGAAATTATTATGAAACGTGAAGAAGGCATTAGAACCAATGCACTCTGTAAAGAATATGGCATGTCATCATCGACTGCCTTCAGCTGTTTAATATGTAAACAAAGCTGCCGTGAATACGACATACACACCTCAAAGCAAGTTAAAATACAGTATTCTATTGTTTTTTATTTATTATTGTACGGTATACTGTACAGTACAGTACTGTATGTAGTTTATATTTAATGTTTTGTTAACCCTATTACTGGTGTACAGTACTTTGTATGTACTGTACAGTATACTTTTTCTGTGAGTTGGAACCAATTTCCCAATATCCCATTGAAATAATAGATTCGGTTAACAAAATTTTTGGTTAACGAACGACTCTGTGGAACGAATTATGTTCGTTAACCGAGGGACCACTGTACTGTATATACATTACAGTACAATACAGTTCTGGGTATAGCACAGCAATCACAAAGTTTTATGGGAATGTTTTTGTTGTCAGATTCATAGGAATGAACCACTCGGGGAAATATTTATCAGAAGAATTTTTTATTTTTTTACCTGCATTTTGGTTTTCAGATGTTCTTATCCTCAACACAGTTCTCTACAACACGAGGAGCTATCAGGGAAGCCACCATTACGTGTTTATTATGCACTCTCTGAAAGACAATTAATTTTCCAAAGACATTAATGCTTCTCTTAAATAAACATGAAGGAAAAACAGCAGCAGCTTATATTATTTACATAATAATGTTTCAGTATTTATTAATAATAATAGCATTGATAATACTGTACTGTACACCGAAACGTTTGATACAACGAAAAATTTACAGCATTTTTTGTATTATTATTAGTTCAGTGATCTTGCCTTAGCAGCATTTCAAATCTTAACGGTATAGAATTTTCTCCTGTAGTGACTTAAATTATTTATTGTAGATAAGATAAACCAAAAAGGCCTGCCTAACCTGACTTATCTTCCTATAGGATTGAAAATTGTAATTTTGTTGTTTTTTCTTATTTGGGTGGTGGTAACAAATGAGTTTTATTTACTGGTTATATTGTTATACAATACTATAGATTAAACAGAGATTATTGGGATGTGTGTGGAAAGGTCAGGCAGTGCAGATGGCTGAAGGTGGAGGGAAGAGGAGGCCTAACAGTGCCTGGCATCCTTCCCTCATATACAGACTTCATGCCAAAAGTGGGGCTGAAATCATTGACACAACGACAACAGACTAAGGAATAAAGATGTGAATGAATAATAGTTCATATAAGACACAGTAGCTCCAAAGACTTGTTACACTTAATAGTTGAGGAGGGAGTGAGGGAGGTGTGAGAGTACTGTAGATCGAGAAGTGAAGGAGGATGAGTCAGTTGAGAGGGAGGGAGGCCTAGGTGAGCAGAGTGAAGTGTATATGCCTCCTCCTTCTGCGCTCTTAAAATACATGGGTAAACGTGGCACTGGGACAAAAATATGGAGAGATAGAGAGCTCTGTAAGAAGAAAAGTATTGGATGCAAAATGTTTATTTAACTAGATTTTTTTTACAAAGCTGTATTATTCAAATGGTCATACTTGTTACAGTGTTATTTGGTAAATTTAGTTTCCATGTTATATTTGTGAAAAGTTCTTGGTAAATATTAGTTTTTTTTTTATATAAAAGCAATCTCGCTGCAGAAATTGATGAATACACAGTACTCCATTATTGTATACAAAAAATATTTAAGATGTAGAAAAGGGAAAAGCTTAATACTGTTCATTATAAAGAAATCTGCCTTTCAGGTTAAGTGAAATAGTGTATGAACAAGTTTGTGAAGATACATTGGAGTCTCTCACTGAATTTTTGGAAGATCTAGCTGCAACAGACAATGTGCCTGAGGACGCCGATATTTTATACTCGGTAAGTGTGATAAGTGATATGCTTTGCTTGTGATAAACGTACCGTATAGGCTTACAAACGGGTTCCGTTCCTGAGGACGTTCTGAAGTCGGATTTGTATATAAGTCGGAATCCGTGCTATGTTCATACCATACTTACAGAACAATGTTTAAAATCCCACTATATATATTAGCCTAAGTCCTTATATACATCTAAAATCACTTAATTTAAGAAAAAAGAAGAAATAGAATGACAAAATGCAATAAATGAAAGTAAAAAATAAGTCATTTGGTAAACAAAATAGTGTAAATTTCAAGTTTAACCCTGTTCTTATTGACGGGTGTTCGTAAGTTGGGGACCCCCTACCTGTATGGTTTACTGTTGATAAACATACCTTTATTTTTCACTCTATTCTGAAGTCAAACTACTTCCTGTTAGAACAATTTACAGATTCACCACTGGATGAAATTACTAGAGTACTACGTACTTAAAAGTGTCACAAAACCCTCAGCTGAAAGTGAATACAGTAGTACTGTTCATGTTGTAACTGACTATAGATGACAGAAGGATGCACTTTATTGACATAAAAAATTCATGTTAGAAGTCAGCTTTGTTAGGGCCACCAAAATTTTTTACTACACTTTAAGATTTCAGAACATTACTAAATTTATAAATACAGTAGATCCATAATTTGTTTTTAGTTGTTCCTTGTTGAGATATCAGCATCTGAGGTTACATTTACTTATATATTTCAACTCTGCCAACAGAGCGGGGTGCTGACACTTAAACTGGGAAGCTTTGGAACGTATGTCATCAACAAGCAGACTCCCAATAAACAAATATGGCTCTCTTCTCCCGTTAGTGGCCCGAAGAGATATGATTTTGTGGACGGTGTGTGGGTGTACAAGCACAGTGGAGTGACCCTGCACCACCTCTTGAGCCAGGAACTATCAAGTGTTTTTAAGACTGATATTGATGCCTCTAGCTGTGCATATGGAGGGAAAGGCTCCAAATAGCAGATATAACAGAAACTTTAGAAAGTTTGATTATTTAATGTACATAAAGTTGCTAGCTGTTAATGTTTATTTATAAAACAAAATTGCAAATGACCTTTTATGCGGTATAACACCGTTTACAAGTTTATCAAATTGTTTTAGATCAAGAATATGCCCTTGTATACACTACAGTATCTTTGTTTTTGTTATGAATACTGTTTAAAAACATTTTATCGAATTTGATTATATCACCAATCATAAGTAACACATAAGAAAATGTCTGGTGGAGATGTAACAAAGCTTATGAGTGCTGTTAAGGATGGACTTCATGTTGAATGGGCTGAATTTAAAAAATCAAAACTAGTTTCAGCAAAACCAGTCTGTTTATATGCTATTGGGGGTCAGCGTGACACTCCCATATCAGCGCTGGCCAGCATCAGTGCAGGAATAAGGGAGTGGGAAGAATGTTTAAAACATACAGTCGATCCAACTGTGGACAAGGTGAGAGGTGTGCTGCCCAGTGAAATCATGGTAGGGGCAGAAGGACAAGTCATGCTTTATCCTGTGCGGCGTCATGTTCCCATTGATGCAGGTGCCTCCACCCCGGGAAGTACAATATCATCTGCCTCGAAGCCAGTGGAACCAAAAATTTTTCCCTCTGTTGCTGGTGGAAATAATAAAAAATTACCACCCAAAGCAATGTTATTATCTATCGTAGAACAAACGTCAAATTACATGTTGGATCATGTAAAAAGAGTGAGTGAAAACGCCTTCATAGCAGGCAATAACAAAATCTTATTCATGTGCCTGGCTTCAGCTGCTCTGGTGAGAAGTAGACTCAATGCCTACAAAGACATTTTAAAACAACCAGCCTCAAAGTGAGTCAAGTGTGTTTGTGAGGGAGTTTTAGGGGTTCTTGTCTTGCAATATTCCTCTTTCTAATATTTAGCTACCTGTATTTATAAATTGCTTGAGCCTTAAAAAGTGTGGTTGAATAATCCAAGTGGAAATAAAAATACCATGCTGCCGTGGATGTATCTGAATAGAACTGTTGTGAAATAGAAAACAGTACACATTTTGATAAAGCTTTGTTTCATACATTGTAATGAGAACTATTTGAGAGCTTGAATTTGGTGAAAGAATGCACATGTGTACTTTTTTATCTAACAGTCACTTCATGTACAAGAAAGACCATTGCCTATTAAATATATCTCTTGCACTTAAAGAGTTTGTACAAGATAATTTTAAAGTTTGCCATTGCCATTGCTTTGATGGGTAAACTTTTCCACTTGTCTATAATTCATATCATGAAGAAATGCCTCCTTTTGTCTGTTCTACATGACAACTTGGTCTCCCTGAATGTATGAACTCTTGTGTATGTAGGATTTCTAGCAGTATTTTGAATGAATGGTTTGGTTTGACTTTTTTGTCTTGTTCAGGACTTTAATCCCTCTGTGAGATCTACCTTTTCATGTCTCATCTAAAGAGTTATCAACCCCACAACCTTCAGCCTATCTGGGTATTTCAGGAATGGTTCTAGTCACCCTGCATAGTACTTTTTCTAGTGATTTTTAGGGTTTTCCTTCATTTTTTCTTTATAGACATGGTGGAGTAATATGGGACTTGCTTAGTTTAGACTTGGTCAGTAAATGGGGTTTTCATGATAAACCCTCCATTTGTACATTGCAGTTATACCATTCTGCCCAGAGTAGTGTGATCATCATAAATGTTAAATTCAAATGTTTTTTTTTGCCATTAAACTACATGATAAATACTGTACATATTAAACTACTGAACTCACCTATTCAACATCAATTTTGTTTTAGTAAATGGTTTTAATATGGAAATGTTGTAAGACATTATTAGATAAATTGCTTTCTTAACAATTGTGTGTGCCTTAGGAATCTGACTACTGCACTGGGTCGGTGTGGTGAAGTTGTGGATTTCATGATGCAAAATATCCTGAGTTACAACTGTGACCTGCTCCATTCATCACTGCTGCATGACACTGCCAGTCATGACTGGACAAATCCTAAGCCTTACCAGGAAAGTAGCAGATCATCACTGACTCTCCAAATGTGGGCATTCTATATGCAAGGTACTGTATTATCATGACACAGGGTAGCTTAGCTTAACCTATTGTTTTCCCTATATTGTACACAACATTTGTCTGTAAAGAAGATATTTATTGCCAGTAATATTACATCAATAGGGAAGCATCTTATGCCTGTACAGTTGTAGATGTACTTCTTTCTAATATTCTTGAGGAGTAGATGATGTCTTAATAACCACTAAAATTATCAAAAAATCTTTTATACCTATGTAAGTGTAGTATAGTATTACTCCTCTCAGGTTCTCCCAAATACTGTACAGGAATGAGAGCAATTATAGGAATTAGCATAGATGAAACAAGGTTTACATCAGTTGTACAAGCAGTTTAGAGATGTATGGGATAAAAAAATAGAAGAGTGAGAAGGAAAGAGAGCAAGATGAATTAAGGCTGTGGAGAAAACCATAAAGGAGGAGAATAAAGCGAGTTCATCCTCTCACTTACAGGGAAACTTTGTATAATCTATTCGTTCCCAATACATTGTGTGCCCTTTATGCACAGAGAAGCTCCTAACAAGTTTTTCATTTTTTTTAGTTGTTATTTAGACCAAGGAATTTAAATTTTTGCATGAATTTGACACTATTGGCTTCAGAATAGGCTGGCCTTTCACATAAGTTTAAAAAATTAGAAAAATAACTTAACACATTGTACGTTTGTTTTATTTATTTATTTTTAATGCAAAAAATAAATTAAAATCCATATACGTCTTCCCACTTCCTAGCTTAATAATTTTCACGGGCCAAAACTGCACACTACACATTATACTGTACCACTAGATGCAGAAAATGATGAGGTTTCTAATGGTGCAATGAGATTTTTGATACGCTTAATAGTTTTGCTGTATGTAAATTGTGAAAAGGTGAGCAAATAACTGTTTTTTTTATTTATAAATATTATAAAATTGTAATGTAGTGTGCAGTAAACAATTTTTGGAATAATTTTTTTTTTCATAGAGCATGTATGATTTGCTAGTACTGTAGTACAGTAAAACACCAGTAATCAAATTTACCCCCAAAAATTATAACAGTACAGTATAGAAAAAAAATAGTAGTCTTATCAGATTCCCAGATTGATGGTTGGTGTGGTTACGACAGGTGTGCGGAATGACCTGTGGAGATACACGTCACCACGCATAGGTGAGAGTATTTTGGCCAGCATTTTCACCGACACCCTTAGCCTTCTGGCTACAAGATATGCCCAGGTAAATGCAACACACTTTGATGTAACTGTCAAACTCAAGTTGTTTCTGTGTTTATCTATTTCATATACCCTGTACAGGTATACAATATATATATATATATATATATATATATATATATATATATATATATATATATATATATATATATATATATATATATATATATATATATATATATATATATATATATATATATATACACACAACAGTAGTAACCGCTTAACGGTCAAATTGAACCCAAAGGTACCGGTTGAAAACTAGATAATGAACAACAGAACATATGATTAATTCCACAGAGACTGGCGGACCCCAAACTCTACTTTTTCAACACAAATACCAAATTCTAGTAAAATAACATCTTAATTTATGATATTACACACACAAAATACTTAAGAGAAATAGAGAAAAACAATCGCCAAGTTAATGTCCATTAAATAATGGACTCAACTCCCCCCCTCTTCCTACACTACATACTGCCACCCTCTCTGAGAAACAAAAACCACTTAATAAAATAATAACTCCAAACAGTATTAGGATAATACCAAATTGACATTTAACAGATTCCTTGTAAGACCAGGAATATTTTTAATATAATGTCATATATTTTAAAAAAAAAGACAACATATTTACCAGAGTAACATTATATCTAAAATTTAGCATATATAAATACCAAAATCTATGAGCTGTGAAAGAGGGGGAGGCAAGGTGAGGTTTTTGATTGACAAATAGTGTGTGAAAATTTTTTTTATTAACTGAAGATATTTGTTTTAGCTCATAAAATTCACACCAAATTACAAAGCAAGAATATAATTTACAATGCTGGAATTCTACAATATGATGATCTGTTTTGAATATAAACATGTATGGATTTTAGGTAAACACAATTTGAGAGATCCATGCAATAATTTAGTTTACACAAAATAAAATATTTTATCTTTTTTGCAAAATATAGGTTTGTTCAAAATATTCCACAACCTGCAAAGTCAGAAATGTAAATTATATTATCCTAACTAGTCTGAGGTATTGTTGTTATTACTATCACGTTAAAAATCTAGTGTTTTCACCCAAACATTTCTCCAGAGGTAGGAGCCAGTGAGGCTGGGAGGAGTTGGAGTCCATTGTTGAATGGACATTAACCTGGCATTGTAAGCGTAATA